CTGAATATGAATCTCCAACAGCTTTTTGGGTTGGTTTATGCAGAATTTGTTTTGTTAGTCCTTACAAATGTATTAACTCATCTACATGTACTTCGTGATAAATTATCTTGAATGACCATAAGCCATTCATTACCCCTTAGAAAGTAATTCCATGTTCAGAACTAAAGTTTTTCATTAAATGTAGCCGTAATATAATGTGCATGTTAAAATTCAGTGGTCAACTTCTATTTGAATGAGCTTTTTTACAGACTTTTTTTAGTACATGTACATGTCGTTGGAATCTTCTTCAGACAGGAAATTAAATATACAGCCTTATCATCGCTAGAATGGATAGTCTTTATAGGCTCCGTCACTTTGACCTTCAAAACGACCAGTGATTTGCATTTGCTTCCAATATCCGAATGAACACAGACAATATAGGAATTAGAACTGTTGTTTATCAGAGCGGCTATTTTTTATGCTTCATTGATCTACAAATCAATCATCAACATATTTTTATATAAATGATGGGCATGATCAAAATATAATTCATTCAGCTCATTGCCTGTGGAATTCTGATGGCTCTTCTAATTAAGCCTATTAGAATACAAGAATACAGTAGTCAGTTAAAGAGTGAGAGTATCGGAGTGAGAATAAAAATGGAAATATAGAACTAAGTGTCAACCTTCGTCAGTATGCAATGATCAGTTGAACATCATGATGCTCTTCATTGTCTTCAGTGAGTTGAACTGTTCTTTTGATAACATTACCTTGGTGCAATTCTTCTCCCGCTCTTGGCAGGCATAAAACTGTGGTGACAATTGCATTTGAATGTCTCTTTTCATGAAAGCAGTGTAGTGAGAGGAAGGAATAATACAAATGCCAGACAAGAATTTCATGAATATTACACGGGGTGTACGTGACAAGGGGATTCACGCAATTCGCAAACGAGTGTTTGATTTAATTATGAGGAGAGCATGCATCAACTTCAAGTGTGAGTGTTTCTGATGTATTGTTTGGTGAATTGTGCTTGTGGTGCTCTGTTTGGGAGAGGGGACTGTGAAATAAGGCTATTTATAATCTCAAACTCATCATTTCTACTATTTTGTACCTGTTTCCAGATAGAATGTTTCAAGACAAACTAGAGGTATATGTTTCCTTGTCGCACATACCATGTATAATGTCATCAGGTGCCTATTACACTCTAGCATTGCCCATCCCCCCCCCCCCACCTCTCTCCCTCTCTCTCGTCTCTTCTCTCTCTCTCTCTCTCTCTCTCTCTCTTTCTCTCTTTCTCCCTCTCTCTCTTTCTCCCCCCTCTCTCTCTCTCTCTCTCTCTCTCTCTCTCTCTTTCTCCTGTTCTTTCTACTGCATGACCCTTTGCTTGTATCTTCTTCTTTTTTAACCTTGATTGTGAAATCTCAGCTTTCCTCTTTACAGGTGTTTTCAGTTTTTATTATATTCATCCCATCTGGGAGATAGGCTACAAGTAATTACACAACATCTTCATTTGGTGAAAGAAGAGAAGTCAACCATTATATAGGTTTGACGCTCATCCTTTTATGTTGGATGTTTTGCCACTCCTCTCCTAATTGCCTTTGAACCCAGTGTTCTACAGCTCTGAGAAGGCTAGTTACGTTAATTTATTTTTCTTCGGACAACCTCTTGCCTTGCATCTATGACAACAACTAATTTCAGCTATACTTAGCCTTTAGTCCATTTTATTATATGGATTTACACCCAGGGAAACTGGAGAAGGTTTCAATTAACTTAATGGGACCTGTAGCATCCATGTTCATTATAGAGTCTAAGTGGATAGGCACAAAAGCAATAATCACCTCATGGACAGAGACAGAGAGAGAGAGAGAGAGAGAGAGAGAGAGAGAATATATATAAAAGGAGAGACAGGCAGTCAAGTGTGGAGAGAAGGAGAGGGAGGATGAGAAACAAGGGAATACTATACAGAGCAAGGAATTGAAGAGGTGGACAAGAGAGAAGGGTGAAAAGAATGAGAGCATGAGAGAGATAGAAAGCAAGTATTAGGAAAGAAAAGGGGAGGAATAATAGTAGAAAAATGGGGGGGGAATGAAGGCAAAGAGAAATGCAAGTAATAAAAGAGAATTTTTTTTCAATTTATTTATTTTTTCCCCCTCTTTGGGCTGATGTTTTTCAGTTTTGAATGCTTTAATATATATTTTTAGATTCATTAATAATTTTTTTCGTCTAAAAGAAACGGTTAAAAAACAATATTGTAAAAGCCTACCATAGATTTTAGGATTTTGGGGTCGGTCGTAAAGGGCAATACAACACCTTTTTTTAGAAAGCTTAATGGGTGCTGTCATCCAATACACATATGCATTCCAAATTTTTGCTGGATAGAATTCCTGTTTTCTGTGGAAGGCTTGCAAGTATGTCTTTCCTTATAACAATTAGTAATAACAATCATATGGGATTTAGATAATACAGTCATGTGCTTTAAGCCAAGAAGATCTATTGCCCTTGACATATGAGGGTCCTGTATTTTTTTATTAAGATCTCGAGACGGTTCTTGAAAGTTACCCGGGCTGAGGCCTGTTTTCATT